GGCACAGAACTCACCAAACCTTTGACAGATAGAGGTGGCTTTGGTTTACTTCTGGTTTCTTCCAGTACTAGATAGAACTCAGGGCCTTGTGTGTGTTAGGCAGCCACTAATACCAAGCTATACACCAGGGGTATCTATTTTTGTTTTGAGACAGGGTCTCACTATGTAGCCCTGGCTGACCTGGAACACACTGTTGTAGGGAAGGTTGACCTCAAACTCACAGAGAACTGTGCACCACCGTGTACAGTCGTTTTATTTTACTTACTTTTTTTTTTTTCTTTTTTGGTCTTTTTGAGACAGAGTCTCCCTGTAGCCCCAGCTGTCCTGGAACTCACTATGTAGACCAGGCTGGCCTCGAACTCATAGAGATCCACCTGCCTCTGCCTCCTGAGTGCTGGGATTAAAGGCGTGCACCACCACACCTGGCATTTTATTTACTTTTTAAAAGTTATTTTTTTGTTATTTGAGGCAGGGTCTCCCTCTGGAGTCAAGGCTAAATTAAAAATCACTCTTTGGCTGGGCCCAAACTCTGGCCAGTCTTCTGGCTTCAGCCTCCCAATTGCTGGGATTACAGGTATGTGCCAGCATACCCAGCTATTTGGATTTTAAAAACATTGATTGAAATTGTGGTGTGTGTGTGTGCGCTTCATGGAACTCATGTAGAAGTCAGAGGACAACTTGAAGGAATCAGTTCATCAGTGTTCTCCTTCCACCTTGTGGGTACCAGAGATCAAACTCAGGTTGTTAGACTTCATGGCGAGTACACTTTACCAAATGAACCATCTCACTAGTCCTCACCCCCACACTTTTTGAGACAGGGTCTGTCTCATGTACTCCAGACTGACCTTTAACTAGTTATACAGCCAAGGGTGACCTTGAATTTGTGGTCCCCCTGTTGAGATTAGAGGAATGCACTGTTGAGCCCAGTTTATGCAGTGCTAGCAAAAGAGCCCTAGGCTTCCTGCATGCTAGGCCAGCACTATACCAAGTGAGCAAATCCTCAGACCCTATTTAGGATTTTTAATTTTTAGACAGAATTTCACTATGTAATCCAGAGCGACCTTGAACTTAGTGATTGTCTTGCCTCATCCTGTGGAATGCTAGTGTTAGAGGAGTACACCATCAGGCTGGCTCCAGGCCTTTTGAAATTCATGAAGTTCCCTTTATCATATCTGAGTTTATGCTTATAAGATGTCGTAGGGCAGCCCCTGGATAGCTTCAGAATGGGGCTGGTCACCAGAAAGGTCAAATGATTGGCAGATTGGAACTCTGTTCTTCTGTGAGGACTGGGATGGAGAAGTTCTAGAGATAGGGCTGTATGCAAACCCTTGAGCAGCTTCAGAGCTTCTAAGCTGGTGAATACTGAGCACCTCAACTCCACAGAGAAGAAATTCCTAGATGGAGGGCTCTCCCAGAGTAATTCTATGTAATTCTCTTCATCTGGCCATTCATTGGTATCTTTATTTGTTTTAGTATTATTATTATTATTATTATTATTATTATTTTTTTCTTTTTTTTTGTGTCTTTTGAGACAGGGTCTTCCTGTAGCCCCAGCTAGCCTGGAACTCTCTATGTAGACCAGGCTGGCCTTGAATTCACAAGAGATCTGCCTGCCTCTCCCTCAGGAGTGCTGGGATTAAAGGTGTGTACCACCATGCCCGGCTATTTATTTACTTATTTTTAGTCTTTGAGACACGGTTTCCCTGTAGCTCCAGCTGGCCTGGAACTCACTATGTAGATCAGGCTGGCCTTGAACTCACAGAGATCCGCCTGCCTCTGCCTCCCAAGTGTTGAGATCAAAGGAGTGTACCACCATGCTGGGCTATTATTATTTTTATCTATGTGTATGAGTGTATTGCCTCCATGGATGTAAGTGGACCCATGTCGTGCAATGCCCATGGACTTTAGAAGAGGGCATCAGATCCCTGAAACTAGAGTTACCGGTGGTTGTTAGCTGCCATGTGGGTGGGTGCTGGGAACTGAACCCAGGTCCTCTGCAAGAGCAGCCAGTGGTTTTAACTGCTGAGCTATCTCCCCAGTCCCTCATTGGTATCCTTTATAATAGACTGGTAAATGTAAGTCAAGTTCCTGCCAGGGTTCCACAAGCCATTCTAGCAAGTTGTATGATATGAAGAGGTGGGTCATAGGAGTCCCCATTGACAGCCTGTCAATCATCAGGATGAGTGGTGGCCAAAGGCTTGGGACTGGCCTCTGCAGTGGGCACAGGCTTGTGAGACTGAGGCCCTTACAGGGTCTGTGCTAAGTCCCAGGTAGTTTGCGTCAGAACTGAATTGAATCTTCAGACACCCAGCTGGTGTGAAGAATTGGTTAGTGACAGAAAATGTCCCAGAAGCTATAATTAGTTAGCATATTCAGTCCTCCAACCTGGGAGAAGGGGGATGATCAAGTTTAGCATTCAGCTAGCTTTTAAGAGAACATTCTTAGAGCCTTCAGTGTCTCACCCACAGAGGGTTCAGACCCTGCTTAACCTTGGCTTAGAGCAGGATGCACTTACCAACGCCCACTCCATCACACCTACCAGGCCTCCCTCCAGGCCTGACCATGATCCCACCTTCGTACTCAGGAAGTAGGGCTGTGCTCTGAGTCACATCGCTCCTTCATTCCTGAGTCCTGCTTCAATTTCCCCACAGCCTTCCCTGGTCCCTGGTTAGTCATCACTCACAATCATAGGTCCCCCTGATATCATCCCCAGTTCTGAACCTCTTGCTAGAGATGACTACTTCTGTTTGTCCAGTTGTGTCACCTCCAGCTGAGAACCCCAGGATTCAGGACGAAAAGAGGTCTGCCAGGAAGCAGGGCTGATGGGGTATGTAACCTCAGTCCCCTCAAGTCTGTGGACTTGCGCTGATTCAAGTCCTGGGAGGAAAAGGTAAGTCACCAACATACTGTCCTTACAAGGCTCACTATTTACTTCAGAAACAAAAACAAAGTCACACAAGGAAAGGAAGTTTTAGCAAGAGTCATCATGGAGGTAACACAGACTTGAGTGAGCCAGAGAGACACAGGAAGGTCAAGAAGAGGGGCCTGAGCTGAGATGCTGAAGATGCCTAGGAGGTCTCTGCACTACAAACAGATGCAAGAAGCATTCTGAGTAAAAGAACAAGCTTGGACCTTCCAGATGGCTCCGTGGGTAAAGGTGCTTGCCACTGAGCATGACGACCCGAGTTGGATCCCTGGGACCCATACGGTGGAAGGAGAGAGTTGACTCAAGTTGTTCTCTGACTTCCACAAGCATGCTGTGGCACAAGTGTGTCTCTACACATCTACACACACAAAGTAACAACAACAAAGAACAAACTCAAAACAAGGAAGGGTAAGAGGGAGTGGTGGGCCTGGGATTCATCGGGGCAGGATGTGGACTAAATGACTTGGGAAAGAGGTTAGTTCAGACTTTGAGTGAGGCGGTCAGGCCTATGTAGAGTCAAGAGCCTGGCAGGGTTGGTCAAAGGCCAGGAGAACTCTGTTATTCTAAATAAGATTTGAGACTGTGCATCCAGCACCTGGCTCTGTTAGGGCTGGCTGAATGGGAGCAGCCCTCAGAAGCCCACTGTCAGTCTGATACAGGGAACTGACACCTGCCCTCTGGAAGAGTTGTAGGAGGGAGATCTGATATGGAGTCTGTACATCTGGGCTAAGCCACCATGAACTGTTCTTTTGTGGGAATTGGACTCTGGAGATGCTGATAAGCTGGGACTCTCTCCTCACATAAAATCATGCTTGTCATATCATTTTAAGGACATCACAGACTCTGGGAAGCCGGGCTAGTTGTGCAACCTGTCTGGACACAGCCGTCTTCCCCAGCAATGGCCTATGAGAAAGTCCTCACTATTATCCCAGTTGGTTATTTCTAAGAAGATCTGCACCTGTAGGATAGTAATGATCTGAGCAGGCTTTTGTTGTTGACAGTACTGGGGAGCAAATCCAGGGCTTTGTGCATGTATGTCCTGCATGTTTTAAAATATTTTATTTTTAAGTGTGTGAGTGTTATGCCTGCATGTAGATAGGTGCACCAGTGTCATGCACTGCCTAAGGAGGTCGGATCCTCTGGAACTGGAGTTAGATAGTTGTTAGCTGCCATGTGGATGCTGGGAATCCAATCCAGGTCCTCTGCAAGAGCAGTCAATGCTCTTAACTGCTGAGCCATCTCTCCAGCCCCTTATGCTGCATGTTTTAAAACACCACCTTTAACTGGGCATAGCGTTGTCTCATGTATGTCCCAGGATTTGGGAGGCTGAGGCAGGAAGATATATCTCTGAGAGGCCAGCATGGGGGCCCATGTAGACCCTGGGCTGTGAAGATTCTTAGGGGAACGTCAGAAACGCCGCAAGCTCACCTCTGGCTTCCGGGATCCCAGGATATACACGCTTAATAAATGCCAGTAGAAACAGGAAAGGAAGAAAATGCTGCCAGGCACTCAGGACAGAGGCTGGGACAAGGAGCTGGTCTGAGAACGGAAATAGGGGGTAAGTGGGAACCCCACAGAATGGGTGGATGGGGAAGCCCTCCAGCCGACTTCCCCATCCACATTGCAAGGGGTATTAATCCTACTTTGTTCATGAGGCCTCTGGGGGCCCAGAGAGGTAATATGATTTGCCCAAGGTCACACAGCAAGTGAGGAGCGGAGTCTGGATTTGACCCAAGGCTGTCAGCACCCTGAGCCCTCACTCTTCCACTTCACTCCTCGCCCCCTCCCCCACCCGCTTCCTCTCCCCT